AACTATAAAATAAATAAAGATAAGGATGAAAGCAAATGAAATTTAAAAATATAATACATACAATAAGAAAATCATCAGAACCAAAAGTTGGTCCTCTGAAAGTCCAATAGATTAGACAAACCTATGGCAAGATTTTTCAAAGAATAAAAAAGATAAAGTGAAAACATAAATACACGAAAGTAGGAATGTAAAAGGGACATTAGCACACAATCTGTAAATAAAATATTACAAACTTTGTACCAATAACTTTGAAAATTTAGAATAAACTGACAAATTCCTACAAATATAAAATGTTCCAAAGTGATTCAAAAAGAAATAAAAATAGTCATATAATTATTTTTAAAAATTGGAATTACCCATTAAAAAGCTTCCCACAGAGAAGGCTAAGGGGTAAATAACTCCAACCCTAGGCTCTTCTAAAAGATATAAACAGAGAGAATGCTCAAGTTTTTAAAGAAAGCAAATTTTGTCCTAAAGAAAAAACAAACAAACAACAACAAAAATAAGCGAAATTACAGAACAACTGAACTCATAAACATAGGAAAAAGGTAAACAAAATATTAGCAAATGAAAGCAAGTAGTGTATTAAAAGGAGAGTTGATTTATATTTATTCCAGGGTTGTTTAAAAAACAAAAAAATGTAATTCATTACATTAATAGAATAAAGAAACTCATATGATCATCTCAATCAAGGCAGAAAAAGTAATAAAATTTGAAATCCATTCATGACAAAAAGAAAGCAGTCTTAGTAAACTAGTAATAAAAGGAAACCTCCTTTACCTGATAAACAGTTTATACAAAGACTACATCACATAACATACGAAACGAATGCTGAAAGCATTCTCTTTGGGATTAGCAATAACACAAGAATGCCTATTAAACTGCTTCTATTCAATATTGCACTGGAGGTTCTAGCCAGCATTCTAAGACCAAAAGCGGGGGAAAGTATGATTAATGCTTAAAAGTATAAGGAGGGGAAAGAGGAAACAAAGCTGTCACTATTTGCAGGTGATATAATTATTTAGAGAAAATCCAAAAGAATCTGAATACAAATTACTAGAACTAATGAGCAAGTGAAGCAAGATGACTACATAGTGGATTAAAGTACAAAACCAATTTGCATTTCCATACACCAGAAACAAATAGTTAAGGCACATAGTTCCAAAAAAGATAGCATTTGCACAACCATATACATTTGCCAAAACTTAGAGAATGGTACACTTAAAGTGGATGTATTTTATTGCATGTAAATTATATCTTTAAAAAACTGTAGGTAACGCATAATGCTAAGTGAAATAAGTCAGTTGGAGAAAGATAAATATCACATGATCTCACTCATTTGTAGAATATAATGAACAACATACACTGATGAACAAAAACAGATCCAGAGACAGAGAAGCATCGATCAGACCATCAAACCTCAGAAGGAAGGCAGGGGAGTGGGGGAAGGGGGAGAGATCAACCAAAGGACTTGTATGCATGCATATAAACATAACCGATGGATACCAGACATTAGGGGTGTGAGGACACGAGCGAGGAGGTGGGGGGGGGGAGGGAGGAGAAGGACACATATGTATTATCTTAATCAATAAAGAAAATTTTAAAAAAACTATAGGACAAAAGGTACCATTTGCAACAGCAACAAGTGTAAAGTATACAACAATTAATCTAACATATATAAGGCCTATCTGGGGAAAATTATAAAGTTTTATTGAACTCTAGCTGGTTTGGCTCAGTGGATAGAGCGTCGGCCCACAGACTGACAGGTCCCAGGTTTGATTCCAGTTAAGGGCATGTACCTCAGTTGCAGACTTGATCCCTGGCCCTCAGAGAGCAACCAATTGGTATATCTCTCTCATATCGATGTTTTTTTCTCTGTCTCTCCCCCTACCTTCCACTCTCTCTAAAAACTCAATGGAAAAATATCATTGGGTGAGGCTTAACAACAACAAAAAATAAAACTTTATTGAAAGACATACAGGGATATCCTATATAATAAAAGGGTAATATGCAAATAGACCAAACGGCAGAACAACCAAACAACCAATCAGAGTGAAATATGCTAAGGCTGCTCAACCGCTTGCTATGATGTACACTGACCACCAGGGGGCAGACAGTCAACTGGTCGACCAGTAACTATGACATGCACTGACCATCAGGGGGCAGATGCTTCAACCGGTAGGTTAGCTTGCTGCTGGGGTCCGGGTGATTGGGACTGAGACGGGCCAGACACACCCTGGAGCCCTCCTGCAATCCCCTCCTGGCCTGACGGTGCACTGGTGGGGTCCCTCAGCCTGGCCTGCACTCTCTCCCAATCCAGGGCCCCTCGGGGGATGTCAGAGAGTCAATTTCAGCTGGATCTCAGAGGCCACTCCCCCTGGGAGGGTGCCAGATGCAGGGCGCATGGCTGGTGAGCACTGCTGTGGCAGTGAGTGCCTCTCCCTATTGGGACTGATTGGGCGTGAGTCTGTGGCAGGCACAGGGGGGCCGGGATGAGAGCAAACGGCAGGTAGGATCTGCAGGCAGCGTTGGAATGCGGGTTTCGGCCTGATCCCTGCAGGCCACCCAGAGGGACCCCACCTGTGCATGAATTCATGCACCAGGCCTCTAGTCTATAATAATAAAAGTGTAATATGTAAATTAGACTGGACGACCTGCCGGACAAAGCCGCGGGGGGGGGGGGCAAGCCCCTTGCACAAATTTTGTGCATCAGGCCTCTAGTATTTAAATAAATGGAAAGACATAAGACATCCATGGAATGAAATATTTAATATTGTAAAGAGGTCAATTTTTCCCCAATTTGATCTTTAGATTCAAATTATCAAAATCCAACAAAATTTTATGAGGAACTCAGTAAGTTGATTCTAAACTTTATATGAAAGAGCAAAGGACAGACACGACACTCTTTAAAAAAGATTACTTACTCCCTTATAGTAATTAAGATAGTGTGATACAGGCATAGGGATAGACAATTTAACCAAAGGAACAGAAGAAAGAGCCCGGACACCACACTATGTCTGTTTGGAAATGTAATTTATGAAAGTGGTGGCATTATAAGACAGTGAGGAAACTAGGGATTATCCAATAAATAACTCTAAACGAGTTATTATTCAAAAACAGAGAAAGAGAGAAAGAGAATTACATATCCTAATTACACTATACAGAAAAATCCACTTCAGATGAAATAAAGACATAAGTGGATAGGGACAGTCTCAAAACTTAAAAAGGAAAAAAAAGAGAGAGAAAAAAACAACAACAGCCCTAAGTGGTTTGGCTCAGTGGATAGAGCGTTGGTCTGCGGACTGAAAGGTCCCAGGTTTGATTCCCGTCAAGGGCATGTACCTTGGTTGTGGGGATGTGCATGAGGCAGCTGATTGATGTTTCTAACTCTCTATCCCTCTCCCTTCCTCTGTGTAAAAAATCAATAAAATATATTAAAAAACAAAAACAAAAGAAACAGCAACACACTACAATGTTGTACCAGACAGGACTTTTTTTAAATATAAAAAATACAATATAAAAAAAAGAAAGCAATGGGAAACTGATTAAAAAAAACAACAAGTCAGAAAGTCGGTGCAATGATAAGGTCAGCAGGCGTGCTTCTGAGCCATCAGTGCCGTGTGAGAGAGAGGTTCCCACTGAACTCTGAAGAGAGAACAGTGCACAGGGGTCATGAGATTGGAACTACACAAAAGAACACACGGAATCACAGCTCACTGTTTGACTCTGTAGTAAGTGGTATTAACTGTGAATGCTGTGATCTGGTTTTCAACTTTTAGATTTAACCCTTACTAAATCTCAGAAGGCTGACAGAGAAGGGAACTGACATAGAAATAGCATCAGTTTTGACAATAAAAGTAAAGGCATAGATGACAGAGGTTAGGAGGCAAAAGGAGACGGGAGAAATAGAAACTATTAATTTTCTCTTTTTACAGAGAAGTCAAAAGAAGTTACAAGAAATAGAGGTTAAGGCTATTATTTAAAATTACAAAGTTGACCAACTTAAAAAAATGGTGATATAATTATGAAAAACTGGAGTGGGTTGATATATACAGTTATAAAGGTTGGTTACTTATACCACAGAAGGGATTCAGTAATGTCCCAAAACTGGTAAGTCAAGAAATGGTGCTCTACATGTATTATTTAGCGATATGGAGGTATCCACCAGCAGATCTAAAAGCCAAATAAAAGACAGTGAAGTGGGGGAGGATGTACTGCGCTTCATTTTAAGCTCTTCTGCATCACTGAATTTTCAAATCACATGTTTGTATTAGTCTACTATCAGGTAGGTGAAAGAAAATGAATGTCTACTCCAACAGAAAAACTTCTAATACCTGATAAAGACTCATGATCAAAAAGCCTACCAACTTTATCCAACTGAGTAAACTTAATATCATCATTCAATTCAGAATAAAGAGATTGTAATAGAGTCTGAATCTTATTCTTCTTTGTTCTCCTCCTCCTTATTTATACTAACATTTTTGGTCCCTTTAGCTTTCTAGCATGAATAATCAATTAAAAATTACATATATATATGACACTAGTTTTGTTTATAAAATATAGCCTTATGTTTCCTCATTTTCTCTCAACACAGAAAGAGTAAATCAGATTTTCATTCCCATGTGGTCTAAAGTTACACTAAGTTTTAAAACCTATGGGCACTGCTGCTCTAGAGAAGAAATGATCTCCACCACTGATTTAAGGGAGGCGCACACCAAACGAAAGACAACCTTGCTAACCCAGCACAGTAACTACCCTTCAACTACCCTCCAATCTTTCTGTTGGAGGCTGGTATGCGTTCCTTAGACTTCAGGACTCAGGAGCTAGGTTTCCATGTAGACATTTGTGGCGATTTAAAGAGATGAAAGCTTGAAGTCTAAGTTCCCCCAAAACCAGAAGGTTAAATGTTTATGTTCGGTGACATTTAGTTTTGATCCAAGAAAACTTAGCGAGGTCTCCAGTTCAGGCTCACCCACATCCATACCCAGGTCTGTACTTACACGATATTTGCAAGGTCAAGTGGTTTCTCAGGTTGCTCAGGAAAAACAGGGTGCGGGGGTTCTCTGGTGGGTACACACCCCAAAGATTTACTAATTGCATGGCCCAGCTTCTTCGCAGGGGATTTCTGTGTCAAAGCAGAAAATAAGCAAATAAGGAATTAAAGAAATGAGGAACTAAATCTTCAAAGAATTTCAAAAGAAATGGAGGCAAGAGCTATAGGAAAAAGCTTTTCAAATACAAACTAAGTTTCATTATAACCAACATCAATGGGTTCTGCAGAAAGGAATCCACAGTTGTCCCAGGATCACCTGTGGTCCTTCACGTCTGTTTCCTTTCCCACCTCTACATGCAGTCATACTACCAACTTCCTGTTAACTTTCCTTTTGAACGTCCCTATGTACCCTTTGCATACAGTCCCTCTTTTTGGTAAGATGTTAATTCCCTCACTGGAGTCAGAAATATTTGTTGGGCTAAAATGCTGAGAGCTCGTGGCTTTTTAATCTTAGCAAATTAGCTGACTAAAATGTGCCTATTTAGAGAATATTCCCAAAATAAATGTGAGGCAGAAAATTTGGTGTTAAGGTTCTGGCTATGAGTACAGGTGCAAATGAGTACCCTCACAGACAGGCAGTGCACATCAGACCTGTGACTACATTACGATATGCTGAGGGATGAAAAGAAGTTGGCAAACTAGTACTAATATATTTCTGTGGAATGCAGAACAATACTCGCCAAAGCCAAAAATGATCAAGTCTAAGATTTAATAGTAAATAGCACCAGGTAAGCAATATGCCACAATTAAGTTTTCATTACTTACAGGAGACTTTTTACAGGATCCTGGTTTTGTTGTCCACCCAATTCCCTGTAAATAACACTGTTGTCTGTAGTTTTCTTGGTAGGATATTAACTGCAGAGAAGTTTAAACACTTCATTCTACTGCCTCTGCAGTGCATGACCGTATGCACCACCTTGACTGGGAAACAACTTGCTTGCAGCTGTGTACCACATCCACCACTCTCCATTTAACCTTCATACGCTGCGTGCGTGTATTTTAACACAAAATAAGCAAAAATCTGTTTGCCTTTAAGCAAAGTTAGGTGAAGTTGGTTAATACCTTGTTCAAAATAAAGATGGGATAATAACGATTTCTTCAGAAATTTCATATACTGACTCCAAATCACCTACCACTATCCCTTTCAACCCATTAAATTCTGGGGCAAGTCTAAATGTAATCTAATTTCCTGAAAACCATACAAAGCTAAACAAAGCAGAAATTCTGAAAACGGCCCCCGTAATGTGATTGATTGCTCCTCCTCTATCCCATCACCTACACTGTCCCCAGATATGTCAGTCTTCTGCTTAAAATCTCTCAAGGATGACAATCACTTATAAAATAAGATCTAAATAAATGCCATCATAGTCCATAGCTTTCATGCTGGGCTCCTGGCTCTCTCCTCAGCCTTCCCCTCACACCAGCATAAATGACAAGCTGCTCAGGTGAACCCAACACACCGTGTCCTCCTAGCTCTTGGCACCTAGGCACCTGTCCTTCTGAGGGCTGCCTTCTTGGCCTGTTTCTCTGGAAATGTTCGTCAGCTCTCAAGGCTGCTTGCAGGTGCCTATTCCTCTGTGAAGACTTTCCTCACCGCTCCATACGTCAGCGCCCACCTTCTGAGCCACCCGTGTGCCATGTACGGATTTCCACTGGTGCACTTCCCATGTCCTAGTGCACTTTTTAACTTACGTGCCTATCTCTGTTAGACTGGTGCTCTTGAAGGGTAGGATCTACATTTTATTCATTTGTGTATTTCTAGAACCTGCTCTATAACAAAATACATTATTTGAACAAATAATTTGCCTCCATGAATTTTTCCTGAGCAAAACACATATGCTTTATTTTTTGAGTTATGATACAAGTAGGAGACAATCAGAGGACACCAGAGAATATCTAAATTCGCCTTTACAACTACACACAACATCTGTAAGCCATGTATTAATTTCATGACTTTGTGCTCTGTCTGGGAACCACCTGGGCCATTATTCATGCAACTGTGAGATGGATTAGCATATAGACTGCTTTAGCTGCATCCTGAGTAATAACAGCCATGAAATCACAGGTTCCATACATATATTTTACAATAAACATTAAAATAACTACATGACTGTTAAAATAAAAAATGTTTCCTTTTGCCCCACCTCATACTCTCCAGCAGTGCTTTTGAAAATACTCCTTTAAATCAAGGCTTAAGATTAGATCCAATTTCAAGTCTCAAAAATATAGATAGAAAGGTAAAAATCAATACAGCAAAGTCAATTCTAAATTATTAGAGTATATTAAGAAAGGCTTGATATGTAGATAAGGAAAAAATTAGAAATAAATATTCATTGGAATTAGGATATTAACTGTGGGCTAGCACCAAAACAAAAAGGGTGTTACCCTGAAAACGTCAAAGATGCACATTCAATTAGATTGTCTAAATCTATATATATATAAAAGCCTAAACGACTGTTACGACTGGTCGACCAAACCACCGTTCGCTATGACGCACACTACCAGGGGAAGACGCTCAACACAGGAGCTGCCCCCTGGTGATCAGTGCACTCTCACAGCCAACCTCCGTGGTCCCTCCCCCCAGTGGCCCGATTGGCCCCGACTGCCGGCCACAGTGAAGGACTGCACCGTGCACGAATTTGTGCACCGGACCTCTAGTAGGTAAATAAAATATTTCCTTATAAAGATCTCAAAGACTGGATTCTGATATAGACCTGAAGTGAATTTCATGGTGGAGCCTGGTTAAGAGGCTTACGAGTAACAAAGCCTGTAGCAAGGTTCGAAAACTGCTGCGATGGCAAGGCGGGGGCATTACCTCATCTGCTCCTTGGTCCCTAGGACAACACCCACACTTGGTAGCCAGTCACTGAATATTTATGGCTCTGAAGAAGGGAGTGAGGGAGGAGGAAAACATCCAGGCTGAGAGACTGGTGTCTCCCACACCTCATTACGCTGCTCTGCCTCCTCCTCACTCCGACTCTAAAACTGATATATGAAGAAGCCTTACCCTAGGAAATTAAATCTCCTCCAAACACTTTTAGGCAATGATTTTCAACTTTTATGCATTTTTAATACCCTAATCTACTTCACCTAGTTTCAAAACAATTCCTACCGTCTCTTAAATTTTTAAACTATCTATTTTTACAATTAAAAAATATATCAGAGTGTATAAAACATACATGTACAGTTTAAAAAGTTATAAAACATATATACATCTACCCACTATTCTTCCTGAGAAATAGAACATTATAGTCAGTTTGAAGCCTCGCTACGGGTCCTTACCTAACGGCCCACGCCCACTGCCGGCTCCTCTCCTGATAATCAGTGTCCTGGATTTTGTACTAATCGTTTCCTTCATTTTATTCTTTTAGCAATTATGCGTAAATAATATGGTTCATTTACTATATGTCTAAAACCTATATAGGCTTACATTTTTTTTCCTGCAACTTGCTACTTTCACTCAGAATTATGCTACAATTCATCCATACTGACATATGTAATGTAATTCATTCATTTATTTTCACTGTTTGATTGTACTTCATTACTTAATTACATCCTAATTTATATATTCATTCCACTGCCAATGGACATTTGGGTAGTTTCCATTTTTCCCCTAATTTATAATGCTGCTATGAACTTTCTTGTCCATGACTCCTGGTGGCCATATGTAAGAATTTCCTAACAGTGGAATTACTGGGTCATGAGTTATGCACATTCGGTTCCACCAGGCCCTGCCAACTTGTGTTCACGAAGCGGCTGCAGTGCCTCCCGCCTCTCCACACTCCGGCCAGTCCTTGTTACTAGTATTGTCAGACATTTTACTACTTGCCAATCTGGTGGATGATAAATAGTCTGTGGTTTTACTTTGTAATTCCTTGATGACTAAAAGACTGAGAAACTTCTCCTGTGTTTATGGGCCATTTGTGTTTCTTCGTCTGTGAAATTCCTGTTCCTGTCTTTGGCACCGTGTCTCGCTGGGCTGCCGTTTTCTTAGTGATCTATCAGCTCTTTTATGTTTTTTGTATGTTAACTCAATGGAAGTTATGACTTGCAAACAACTACTTTAAGGCTTGTTTTTCACTTTATTTGTCCTTTATTAAGTCATCTTTAAATATAACATCAGTCCCAATTTATTAATATTTTCCTTTATATAGGGCAGTGATGGCGAACCTTTTGAGCTCGGCGTGTCAGCATTTTGAAAAATCCTAACTTAACTCTGGTGCCGTGTCACATATAGAAATTTTTTGATATTTGCAACCATAGTAAAACAAAGACTTATATTTTTGATATTTATTTTATATATTTAAATGCCATTTAACAAAGGAAAATCAACCAAAAAAATGAGTTCGCGTGTCCTAGTTTCGCCATCACTGATATAGGGTGTCCCCCAAAAATGTATACACACTTTAACAGTTCATAACTCAGTTAATTTTCACTCGTTTTCAGGTATAACTGATTTGAAATAATGGGGGAAGCAAGACTAAGCTTGGAACAAAGTATCCTAAAGTGCCACTAGACTTTTTTTTTTATGGAGATATATAAAAGATAACGTTTATGGTACAAAACCAGCAACAGTCAACAAATTGAGGGCACACAAATACCGAACAAAATAATTCTTGATGTTGGCAATTCCACTACTTCACATTATCAGCAGTGTCTGGACTGGAACAGTCATCAGTTTGAAAGCAGGCACTGACACAAAAGGTATTCATTTCTATAGATTCTTTTATTTTTATTTAATATATTTTTATTGATTTTTTTACAGAGAGGAAGGGAGAGGGATAGAGAGTTAGAAACATCGATGAGAGAAAAACATCGATCAGCTGTCTCCTGCACATCCCACACTGGGGATGTGCCTGCAACCAAGGTACATGCCCTTGACCGGAATTGAACCTGGGACATTCTTTTAAATTTTGAAAATGAACTGTATGCTACTAACGACTTTATAATCAAAGTGTGTATGCATTTTGGGGTGACACCCTGGATTTTGTACTTTTGTATCTTAAGAAATATTTCCCCCTGTAAGATTAGAATGATAGTGTTCCACATTGTCTTCTCAAGTTTTATAGTTT